GCTACTGTTTTTCATGAATATCTTTTTTTTCCCACCCACCCCGTCTTCCAAGTAAAACTGCTCTTTGCATCTATCTTATAATTTGGACTTTTAGAAACTAGTTTGAGAAACTTTCATATAAATTAGTCTATTTGAAAAGTTCACTGAAGAATAGGATAGGTTGTTTATTTTGAATCGTATAATAAGACCTTACAAAAGGACAGACTAGTCTAAAAATGATATTAATTTTTAAGGGTTCTATAAGAAATACAAATGATGCTGTTATGAAAATATAATAATTTCCTACCTCTGGCTGTTATTATTATATTAGATTTCTTCAAGGAACTTACTCTGATTGGTTTAATGATAAATAAGTGCTTATATAAATATAATAGTCCAAATATTTCCAGGACTTAATGAAGAAACTTCATTCTGATAAAGATTTTTATGAATGTAAACACATGTAAATAAATTGGAATGACCAATTCTTGTTTTTTACTATGGCCCAAAAGACAGGGAGAGTTGGCATGTCCCAGCCTCTGAAACCATGTAGCTCCAGGAAGGTTTTTGAAGGACCAGTCCCAAGTAGGTGAAGGCATTTTAAGACAAAAGTAAATAAGAAAAATGAAGTTTTACTAGAAATCAAAGCAAACTCACTGCTGTCAAGTTGATTCTGACTTGTAGCAACCCTATAGGACAGAGTAGAACTGCCCCATTGGTATGTAAATCTTTACCAAAGCAGATTGCTGTATCTTTTTCTCACAGAGCAGTTGTCTCATGGATTTGAGCCTTGACTTTCTAGTTAGTAGCCAAGTGCTTTAACTACTACACCACCAGGACTCTTTTCTTACTATAGTTATCCTGACTATATTAGATTGCCTCAAGATTATCCCGTGTTATATCTGAGGCTCTCTGAAAATAAGGTTAATCATTATGTTTCAAGACATTTATATCTAAAGTTTTTTATTTGACTAATTGATTCCAATCTGGTCTTTTGCTTTTAAGAAGTATTATTATTATTAATCATACTTATATTAAGTTTTATGCTTTGCAGATAAGCTTTCATTTTGCTGTGTTGTTGAAAATGCTTGACCAAAAAATTTCTGTGAAAGATTGTACTTATGAAAAAGACTGTGATATGTTGAATGTAGATACCCCTGGACTGAGTCAAGATTTTCAGAACTCTTGTGTAGAAAATGATGAGCTCACAGACTGTGGCTGATCCTAAATCATATGGAACAGAAATTAACTACATGGGATTGAGTGAACTGAAATATTACTATGGGTTTTGTGTGAAGATATTCCTGATGTTTCAGTGTCTATTTTCTCCATATAAGAAACCAGATAGTGAGCATAGAATTTGAAATTAATTAATTTTAATTAAATTAAAATTAAAATTAAAATTAAAATTTAATTAATTAAATTAATTTAAATTAATTAATTTATTAATTAATTTAAAACCTCTATTTGCATAAAATATTATAGCTAAAATTCTATTAATAATAGCAATAAATGATAATGTGATCTTCAAGTTGTAAAATCTTAGGTTATCATTATATTTTGGAAAGAATAGAAATCTTGAGAAAATTTAGTTTTTGCTAATGAAAAAACATCATTTAAGTATGTGTCTTTAACACAATTTAAGCCTAATGGAGAAGCTCTCTGTGGATTGATAAAAGGTGATCTCAAGGAATATTGTTAAGTTAAAAAAACAAAGTACACAATAATGATTTTAGCATACACTTGTTATTGTTAAGTTCAGTCCATTCAGTTCCAACACATAGTGATTCTATGGGCAACAAAACAAAACACTGTCTCATCCAGAGCATCCTCACAATTGTTGCTAAGTTTGGGCCTATTGAACAAAGGCTGACAATAGGGCAAGGCTGGGAACTAGAAATAAAGCAACTAAGAATCAGGATAGAATTATGATCTTAGTGTGACGACTTTTAATTATGTCTCCCCATCTGAATGACAGACCTCATCTCTCCTTCATTTCTTCTCTTTCTTCTACCTTAGGCTGGCATGGGCTCTGCTTGTCATTGTTGTCATCACTAAGGCTGACCCTCTCTCTTTTTTTTTTTCTCTCTCTCTGTTACTTTTGCTCTTATAGGTATTAATTCACCTATATCCTCAGCCAACCCAGTCTGCTAATTTATTAGTCCAAGAGCTGAGCTTAGATAGCCTGCAATAGTCTACAGAATCTTATACCAAGCGTTCTGACATTCAGAAGGATGAGACCTTATTGCTGCTGCCAATATGCCTTTACTCTAATAGGATATGTGGGACAAATGAAACTACAAATTACAACAAGATTAAAAAAAAAAAAGAAAGTAAGTCATATCAAAATAAAGGCAGATATTGATCCTGATAACAGTGCTGAGGATATCAGTGTGAGGAATTTTTCTTCAGGGTTGTAGTTTTGAGTAAGGCTGAGAAGCAGGGATAACTAAAGTGAAAATCAGCATTCCTGAACATCAGTCTCAGAAGTTAAGGGTACCCTTGTGAAAATTAACAATAAGCAGAGGTGAGATAGAGGCAAAACTGAATACACAGCCTAAGATGACTGAAACACGAATATTAAACAAAGGAAGTTTAGAGGAAATATAGTAACATAGAGACTCAGATTAACGTATCTATTGGAACCATCACATCTCATGACAAGAAAAACGGTGAATTTTATGGATTATAACATATTTATTAATAGCAGCAAAAATACTTCATTAGGCTCTAATTCCAAGGCTTCTGAGAGCTGAGCTAACTGGTATGATTATCAATACTGAATCCTTTGTAGTTGTTGTTGATATTAGGTGCTAACGAATTGGTTTGAATTCATAGCAGCCCTGTGTACAATATACTGAAATATCACCCAGTCTTGTGCCATCCTTACAATTGTTGCTATGCATGAGGCAATTGTTGCAGCCACTGTGTCAATTAATCTTGTTTGTTGACCCTCTACTTTACCAAGCATGATATCCTCAGCACACAATAACTGACAAAATAGACACTCAACTTTTTTTTTTTAATAAATCTTTCAAACTGGAGGCATAAACTCTTTCATTATGTTATTTATAATAATTACTGATCACATTTTACTTACTGAATAACAGATTTCCTTTGGAACTTTTCTTAAATTCAATGATTTGCCTTGGATGAGAGCCCTGTGCAGTAGCACAAGATTGTGGCAATTTTAAGAGCCTGCTAATGGGGTCAGACAGAATTAAGCTTCTCCCTTTAATTCCTAATAATTAGCTCTGTGCACATTGACTAATTATTGAAACATTGTGTCTCACGTTTCTCATTTGAAAAAAAAGTAATAATAATATTTTTGTCACAAGATTGTGATGAGAATAAATGAAAACAACACACTATTCATAATGTTACCTCTATGACTATCAAAGGATTGTAGGACAGGAAATGATCTTATGAATCATGTAATTCAGTTGTTACAAAACCCGAGTGATAATCAGATTTCTCTTGGGAGTTTTTCAAAAACATAATTTTCTGGTTTTCACCCTCTGATTTTATGAATCATAAATTCTGATGACCAATCAGTAGAAGGAATCATTGATCTAATCTAACCCCATCACTTTATAGATGGGGAAACTGAAGGCCAGTGAATTGAGTGGCTTGCCCAATATGACACAGTTTTGTGACAGAAAAGGTGGAAAATCCTGTCCTTGAAATCATTAGTCCAATAGTCTTTCCATGGTACTACCATTACCTGAACACTGGGATATTCACAGAAGAAAGAGCCAGTGAGTCCTATGTCTCCTCAAGGATTGATAAGGTTTCACAATATTTTGTGGAAGGAAGTTTGTGTAATTTAATTTCTTGAACATCAAATAGAGTAAACAAAATGATATATTTATTAGGGACAGGGAATGAAGTAGAATATCTGAGTTTAAGTCCCAGATCTATCACTAACTAGCTGTAGGAACTTAGGCAAGTCATTAAATTTCTTTGAGTTTCAGTTTTGGTATTTAAATAGTAGTGGATCCTGACTTACAGTATTTTAAATTTTGAGAGATAACATATCTGTGAAAATATTTTAAACAGTAAAGTGCTAGAGAAATATAGTACAGAACAGAACAGAACCACTGCCATTGAGTCAATTCCAACTCATAGCGTTCCTATAGGACAGAGTAGAACTGCCCCATAGTGTTTCCTAGGGTATAGATTTTTACAGAAGTATGTGGCCTCATCTTCCTCCTACAGAGAAGGTGATGGGTTCAAATCACCAACCTTTTGGTTAACAGCCAAATGCCTTCATAATGGCACCATCAGAACTCCTTAAGAAATATAGTAGATAACTATTGTGATTTTTTGCAATGTTGTCTTTGGACCTAGAACTCTTATCACATGTGTTTTACATCATTAATCCATGGTTGCTGAATGGAGTTTATGGGCAAAATAGAAGTGTTAGAAAACTCTTGATTAGCTTCCAAAAGCAAAACTCACTGCTGTCGATTTGGATCCAACTCAGAGCTACCCTTCCTTGGGTTTCCAAGGCAGTATCACTATGGAAGTAGATTGCCCAACCTTCCTTCCGAGGAGTGGCTGGTGGGTGTGAACCACCAGCCATCTGGTTAGCAGTCAAATGCCTTAGGCACACGCCACTGCTGGAAAAGGAATTGAGGAAGTTAACAGTAGTAAATTTCAGAACTATAATGTCCTATATAGATTTCTCTTCTACCTTACTTTTTGCACCCACCAGCATATGGGGCCAAAGAAAGCAAGGATACCTGGTGGAGTGGGAAGACAAAGCCAGTCTGTAGTATGAAGCAAGAAAATCCACACACACACTACATTTAGCTATCACAAGCACAGTAAGGCCATGGATGTAAACAGACCATTTAGTTGCTACCAATGACCTGGACACAGATTTTTTCATTATTGTTAATGATAATAGAACCAGAAAGTATGACAATACAAAAAAAAAAAAAAAGAGCACAATCATAGACAAGATAATGAATAGCAAAAATTTGAACTTCCAGGTGGCTCTTCATAGTCTTCAGGATCTAGATCTGTCTCCTAGCCCCACCAGCCCTCTTCTGAGAGTAGAAAAGTCTCCTAATGGCATCTTTCATATCCTTGTTTCTGAGGCTGTAAATGAGGGGGTTGAGCAAGGGAGCGAGGATAACAAAAGTGGCAGCAATTGCTGTGTCCCAGAACACTGAATAGGTGGCTGAGAATCACAAATACATGACAGCCACACTGCCAAAAAACAGCAGAAATACAGCAAGGTGTGCAGCACAAGTGGAAAAGGCCTTGTGACGGCCCTCCACCGAGGGCATCCTCAGGATGACCACAATGATCCGAATGTAAGATAGGGCAATGACCAGGAAGGAAGCCAGGATTTCCACTGCATGAATGGCATCCACAATGACCACCAGTGATGTATCTGTGCAGGCCAGCCTTAGTACAGGAGTGAAGTCACAGAAGATCTGCCAGATCTGGTTGGAGCCACAGAAAGGCAAGATGGCAATCCATGCAATCTCAGGGAGAACAAGGAGGAAGCCACAGAGGCAAGAGCCAGCTGTCAGCTGAATACACAATTTGGGAGTCATGATGGTTGGGTAACGGAGAGGATTGCAGATAGCTATGTACCTGTCAATAGCCATTGCTGTTAGGACACAACCTTCTGTGATGCCAAGTGAGTGGAAGAAGTACATCTGAAGGAGACAGCCAGCCAGAGAGATGGTCTTCTGCTCACTGACTAGGTTGGACAGTATCTTTGGGATGGTGGTTGTGGTATACCAGATCTCCAGGAAGGAGAGGGCACTGATGAAGAAATACATTGGGGTGTGGAGTGAAATGTCCAGCTGGATGACAATGAATATCATGAGGTTCCCAGTTATGATAAATCCATAGATGAAAAGCAAGGGAATAAAGAATAAGAGACCACCTTCATGCAGATGTGGGAAAATAGAGAAGAAGAACTCAGTCACTATTGTCTGATTCTCACTGATAATCAGTTGTGTCATCTATGAAGGGAAGATAGGAGACAAAAAAAATATTGGAATTGGAATCCCGGTTATCCACTAAAAATTGCTTCACTTCTTTCTGTAATTACTTACTTAAGCTCACTCTGGGATCCTAAAAATGCCCATTAGAAATATCTTTCAAACTGTACTTCTATGCCAGAAACATCTGAAATATTTGCTTTTTTGACCTGCTCATGACATTCTAACAAACATCCCCAACTTATGCCAAGAAACCTCAAAGCTACACACCAATGAAATTACTTCAGAAATGTTTTCTGAGTTTCACTCACTTCTTTAATTACTGAGTCCTTCTCCTCACTTCCTGTTCCTCTGTTTTTATCCTTAAAACTCAAAGATCTTTCTCCAACAATTCTCGACTCTGCTCTTCCAGGAAAGAAAAATAAAGATAATAATGTTATCTTTGTTAATGTAAAAAACATATTAGGAGCTCTTCTTCTAGTACTTTTCCACATTACTGTTTTCTACAATCTCCCACCCTGGTATCTAACTTGAGACTGGCTGGATCTTTGTTTCCCTGCCTTATTTCTGTTCCTTTAATAGTAGCATGTCTGTATCTCAACAGACTGACAGGCCCTCAGATATCAAGAAATCTTCTCTGCATCCTTTCCCCTCTCTGCATCTTTACCTTTCCCTCCTCTCCTACTAGTTGTTGATATTGTGTAAAGAGTGTTCCCAGAATCACCTTGCACTTATGTATTGGCCACTGAATTCTGGACATGTATGTAATTCCACTCTCCACACCCCATCCCTCTTACCAAGGCAACATATAAGAGCCAAGAGAAGGAGATTGTTCTCAATAATAATAAAATCATTCTCTAATCACTATGACTATCTTGGGGAAGGAGCATCATAAAGATCATCTGTAGTCTATTGTCTGAAATTAGACAAGAAACCATGTGCTGAGGGAAAAGTACCAGTAAATTTTTTCAAAGCAAATTGAAGTTAAGGATATCAGTATACATTACCCTTATCTTGACTATATTAACAGTTTTTTCCATTGGTGGTATTCCCACTAATAAGGTATCTTACAGATGAACTTTACTAAGCATGAATTTCAACATCCTCTCTTTTTATCAAAAACATTAAAAAATGAAGACCAAAGGTCTTATCCTTATATTTATTGCCTTTGTAGATTTAGTTGTAATCAAAATTTAGAGCCAAATATCCTTATACATCCTCAACAGCTCAGCCAAACAGTACTGGTTTCCTGAGTTTTTTATTTTTTTGCTTATGCTACTTCTTCTTATATTCCCTTGATCTTCTTTCCCAGTGGATTCCCACTGTCAGTATCCAATAAATGTTCCCACATTTGTGGAAGTCTCACTAATCCCCAAAGCCAGAAGTAATCACCCTCTCCTCTGGATTCTACCAGTGCTTTATCTGTTCCTCTTTTATGATATTGAATTCATCTTTCTCTGAATTTGAAATATTTGTATATCAGCAATGTCCCCCCACGTACACTAAAAGCTCTTCAAAGTGAAAGGAAAGTGAAATATTGATATTAAGCATTATAACTTGATGTTTGTGATGTTAGGTATTTTACAGTACACATTACTATAAAAGTGTTTTATCCCATTTATTTCCCTTTATAATATTTCTCACTGCTGTGGAGTTGGATCCAACTCATAGGGACCCTTCCTTGGGTTTCTGAGGTGGTATCACGATGGAAGTAGATCGCCTAACCTTCCTTCTGAGGAGTGGCTGGTGGCTTTGAACTGCCAGCCTTCTGGTTAGCAGTCAAATGCTTTAGGTTATGCCACCAGACTCCTCAGAAGAAAGGTTGGGCAACCTAATTCCCTAGTGATATCACCTCGGAAACCCAAGCAGAGGTCTCTGTGAGTCAGATCCAACTTGTGGGCAGTGAGTTTGGTTTTATAATATGTCTATTTATAATATACATATTACTACTATTATTCTATAATAGGAAAATTGAGAACAAGAGAAGAAAAATAACTTGTCCAAATTTCATTAACTACAACCTATGGCTATTTACCTTAGAAGTCCACTACTATTTTGTATTCCAGTGGAAATTTTAAGTCAGATTTCACCAGTCATTTTGTTTTGTTTCCTGGTTTAAATATTGCTATACATTTAGGACTGTCTGCGTGTGAGGTGGAAGATGAGTTTTCACAGAAACTAACAGAAACAGTTTCTTCAGGAAACTTCTAGTCTCAAAGGGTAGAACAAGACAATGCAGAGGTCAAATGGAGACTCAAATACATACATTGCAGGCTAGAGAAATTAATTTATAGCAGGTGATTCTCTCCTTTTTCTTCAAGCCTCAAGGAGGAAAAACAAGAGATAAAGCTCTCTGAGGAAATAGGCAACAGGACTCAGCATAAGGGCAGAGCCCCCAAGTACAAGGTGTGAGAGATCTGAGTTGTTCCCTAACTAAAATATCTACTTTTCTGTTTTCTCTTGACTTGTCTTTTCTCAGCCTAATGCATCAGAGAATGGCCACACTGGGTAGTCATTTATACCCACTGCCATCAAGTCAATTTTGATTCATAGTGACTTTACAGGACAGAGTAGAATTGCTCCATCAGGTTTCCAAGGCTGCAAATCTTTATAGAAGCAGACTGCCTCAACTTTCTCCCAAGGAGCCCAGCCTACCAATATTCCTTATATAGTGAAAAAGGAAAAAAACAAACTCACTGCCATCAAGTAGGATCTGACTCATAGCAATCTCTCCTTGGGTTTCCGAGGTGGTATCTCTATGGAAGTAGATTGCCCAATCTTCCTTCCAAGGAGTGGCTAGTGGGTTTGAACTGCCAGGCTTCTAGTTAGCAGTCAAATGCCTTAGACACTATGCCACCAGGGGCTTAAATTTGATTTTGGTCTTGGACAAAATCAGTAACTTGCTGTGTGACACTTCCCTCTTCCCCATCCCAGAAATCCACAACTCTATGGGCTTAAACAATATTTTTGAGCTAGACAGATATTAGTTATTATGAGTATCTTCATCTTTTAGCTGAAGTATATTATTTCTACTGTATCTTCAAGGTTTCATATCTCATTATGCTAATTTCTTCATTCACATAATAAAGTTCTGAATAGATGGGCTTTTATCTAGTCTATTGGGATTTTTAAAAATTCTAAATGTAGGAGTTTTTGTCCAATCTATCGTGGACATTTTGCTCTGTGATCCCAGAGCAATAGATCTCGTCAGAGTCAAGAAAGTTAGGAAAGTATTGGGCAGGTACAGTAGGAGAAAAGGGTGTGAAAAGTCTTGATTGGATGATGCTGTCTCTCACAACAGTCTTGAACACTTACCTCTGCTTAGGCAGCAAAAACTTATACTGAGAATCTCCACAGCTACCTGCCCTTTCTCCTAGTTTGTTTATGAGGATATATATGTCTCTGAGGCCTCTTCAGGGAATATCTAGTGTGGCGACATTATCTTTCTTTGAGAGTTTCTTTGTAGATGATGCAGGAATTAGAGGAAAATGGCACATCTCATTCTCCTCTAAGGGAAAAATTAAGGGAAAGTGTTGCACAGTAATTGGATGTTCCCAAGGCTCAGGTCTCAAAAGATTTCCTGTGGCTATAACCTTTTTATAAGAGTGTATAGAGTTGAGCCTTGGGACCCAGAATAGTTGTGGGAATCACAATAACCCAGTCAGGATCTACTTCCCTGAAGTACACAATCAGTAAACACTGATTTCCTCTCAGGTTTTCACTTATTTCTCACCATGCTTTCTATTCCCTCTGTTGATGTAATAATGATAACATATGTCTATATTAAATGTGAAGAATCTCTGGTGGTGGAGTGGTTAAGAACTAGGCTGCTAATTAAAAAGTTGGTGGTTTAAACCCACCAGCTGCTTCCTGGGAGAAAGATGTGGCAGTACACTTCTGTAAAGACTTAAAGCCTTGAAAATCAGCAATGCCCAAGAGGTAGAGGAATGGTGCCTGGCAGCCCAAGGAGTTGAGGTCACTACTCAGATGAACTAGAGAACTACCCAGTGAAAGAGACTTGTACAGGTGACAAGTTGACAAGGGTGGAATTATGGTAGTTAACATTACATGTCAACTTGGCTGGGGCTGGTTTTGAGTGGCTGAGAAGCTGGAGGTAATTTTTCCCCATAGTGAGATTGGAATCAACTCCATGGTGGAATTTATGGGAGCAGCTGAGTAGCTGTCTTAGGGATGTGGTCTGTCTACTGTATATAAGAAGCAGCTTTGAGGAAGGTCTCCAGCTTTTGGCATTCTTGAGTACTTCATGTAGCGGCCTTGGGAGCAGCAGGGTATCCAGGTAAAAAGGGGCAGAGGCAAGGCTAGACACCAAGCCCCTTAGAGACAAGAAAGGGAGGGAGCATGAGCAGCCTCAGGGACCTCAGGGTGGCAGGATATCCAGGTAAAAAGAGGCAGGAGGGAAGCCTAGGCCCCAAGCCTCCTAGAGCCAGGAAAGGGAGGGAGCAGCCAAGGACCACAGAGTGGCAGATTCCAGGTAGGAATTAGATAAGGGGAGGGCACAGAGGTTTCCAACAGCTAAGGGAGAGAAATTTGTCTGTCAGTTTGTAATTCTGTGAGGCTTGTACATTGCTGTGAGGCTTGAGGCTGTGTTACTGGTGTTTCAGACTCCAGAAGAGTTGCACATGGTACACAGGTTTCAACGCAGTTTACAGACTAAGACAGACTAGGAAGAAGGAGGAGGCCATCCACTTCTCAAAAATTGGCTATGAATAGCAGAGAAACACTGTCTGATATATTACTGTAAACTTTATGAATAACCCTGAAACATTGTCCAACACAATGCAGAAAGATGAGCCCCTTGGGTCAGAAGGCACTTAATATAGGACTGGGAAAGAGCTGCTTCATCAGAGTAGAAATAACCTTAATGATATGGATAAAATAAGTCTTTTGGGTCCTCCATGTGCTGACATGGTACGACTCAAATTGAGGAGAAAAACCTGCAAACATCCATTAATAATCAGAACATGGAATGCATGAGTATGAATCTAGGAAAACTGCAAGTT